ATGGTGTCAGCTTCCCCAAAAGATTCTAGAAAACATGTTCTCCCGGGGTCTCCAAATTACACACCAAAAACGAAAAGAGAACAGAAAAAGACCGGAAAACAAACGGAAAACACCGCAACACTCAAATGAATGCAAAATACATAATAAATGACAAAAAGATACTAAAACCACCTAAATGACTTAATACGGGGGAAAAAGAATAATGACTAAAAATGACACAAAAATAGGAAAAACACTTGTTATCGAAAATTGCTCAAAACTTGGTGGACTGTAAGAGCAGAAGTGTTACTCTATTGCATCTAGAGAGGAGTGAGATTGAAGCGGAAGTGGCAGAGATTGAGGAAGTAGAGGATTGAAGAGCCCCGATCTTAGAGGAGCTGAAAGTGGGGGGGTGATAAAAGCGGGTTGAGGAGAAATGATCTCGTCCTCCTCGGGCTCGTCTAACGCGTTGAGAGCAGGTCGACGGTGGCAGAGAGGAATGTTATCCATAGTATCCCCGGAGTTGGAAGAAGCAACACGGGCTGTGAAAATACGGGTAGGAACAGAATCGTCGGGGCGAAGAGAGGAACAACCTCGAGCGCAGAGGGAAGTACTTGAACGAAATCGGAGGAAATGGTTGAAGAAGGAGAGGGAGGTGCAGGATCTGAAAAAAGAAAAATAAGAACAAAATCAAAAAAGGAAAAAACTTTCGAGAAATGCGAAACTTCAAAGAATTAAGGCTCTACGAGGGGGATAATTTCGAAAAAATTAGAGAAGGAGAACAGGGATTTCAGAAGATTTTCGAAGAGAGAGGGCGAAATTCACAAGTGATTGACAAGCGAACACCGACACCCAACATACAAATTCAAAATCCTCAATCAGCAAACTTCAAGACACCCAATTCAAAAAATTCAAAACACAAAATCTCAGATACAGGGAACGTAAAATCAGGCGAGAAGCGACTTACTCATAATCACAGATGAGAGATTTGGAAGAACTCGAAGATCGCAGGGGAAACCGCCGAAAAAGATTAGGGTTCTTGCAAAAGGGATGTTTGAGCAGAGGAGAGTTCGAAATCGCAAAGGTGGAAAAACTCAAAAATTCGCTAAGTACTGAATTTATACTTGAAGAGTTGAAGAGTTGAGAGAGGAGAGCCGTCGGATAAAAGATAGATCTGATGGTGGAAAGCGTTAACTCACACGGAACTCAAAGTGGGCGCTTTATGCGAGGAGACACTATCATTAAAGTAACTGACAAATGCAGCAGACGCGCCGCATGGCAGAAAAGCAGGCGCGGCAGAAAGGACAGGTGACATGCGACCTTATCTCTGGTAATTAATGAGGTATTATTTGGAAAAATAAGTGGAAAATCCATCAGATGGTCGATATCGGACACCATGCTATCCAGGAGATCGATGAGCACAAATTCACTCTTAGATCAAGTCATTCAGACTCGACAAGAGTGGGGGGAGGGACTAGATGATATAGGATATTATACTTACCAGGCTAAACCAGTCTGCTGAACCAGACGAGGAAGTCATATCATGAAGGAACCGAACCAAGTGGCGGGAAGATCGAGCAGCTAACCTGTCGACTAGTCAAGTAATCGACCAACCCATCACTCGACCAGATGAGTGATCAAGCAACCCAGTCGACCTCAACAGGTCGATCATCTTCGAAGACTTAACACTACACTGATCGGCCTAGACATAGGCGCGTGAGAGAGCCTCTAACCGAATTTCAAGAGAATATTTATCCCATTGTAAGGGGACACGTATCGAGAACGTAGTGGTTGATAGCAATAACCGCCTCTGATAGCATACCCCATGTGCAGGAGGACACGCGTCCAAAGAGTATTGGTGCAGACGATAGTGGCGACGGCTACTTCTGACACACGCGTATTGTGTGTGTACGGACGGGCAGTTAGGGCAGATAGCTCACCAAATCCGGGCAGCCCTAGGTCAGGTATCTCACCCCTATATAAAGGGGGTGAGCCTTTCTTCTTAGATACGATTTCTCTATTATTCACTTCAGTATACTCAAACATATACTGACTTAGGCATCGGAGGCTCTTCACCGGAAACAACCCCCGGTGTGAGAGTTGTTTGCAGGTTTCCAGCGTTCTACCGGTGAGGACAAGAATCGATCTACCCCAAACCGAACCAGGACATTCACGACTGCATTAGAAAGTCTAAGGGCAATCATTCTGTGTTTCAACGACTTGGATCCTTAGAGCAGTCAAAGCCTTTAAGACAAGAAAGAGGTGGGGGTCCAGCTCCAAAGCTTAGAAGTCAAATTTTGTCACGTATGAAACGTTAAACCACCTTGGTCATATCATGTGAGGAGTTTTTAAAAGCAAAAATGCACACGATCGTTCATATAAGAGTGCAGGACAATGGAGTTGAGGATAGAGAAAGTGTCGCTTCGTCTTACTATGCTTGTGGTACTCTTACAACTCCTCGAGATGATGAACGTTCTCTTTACTGAAAGATAGCTTATTTGGTGAGAAAAGGGTATATCACTGGAGTTGATGAAAATGTGCAGACACGACTTGTCACGGGAAAAAATAGACGGGTGAGAGCATTTATTGACTTCAAAACTCTTAGTGAGTCGAGCGAGGATATTGCTCCCGTGAACCATATCACTATATTCAAGGATACTCTGATAGAAGAAGAAGGTGCCGAAGACGCACCTCCCGAGCTTGAAGAAGGTGTTAAGGCTACGGTCGATGAACTAAAAGAAATCAACTTGGGCGATGCTGACGATCCTCGCCCGACGTACATCAGTACCGTAGATGAAGAGAAGGCTTACATAGAGCTTCTTGGTGAGTTTAGGGATGTATTTGCATGGTCGTATAAAGAGATGTCTGGACTAGAACCAAAGGTGGCGGTGCATACCTTGTCCGTGAGAAAGGGGGCAAAACCTGTTAAACAAGCACAACGGAGATTCCGATCTGAGTTGATCTCGTTGATTGAAGCTGAAGTGAATATACTCATTGAAGTTGGTTTTATTCGAGAAGTTAAACAAAACTTTTTTGGGGGAATATTTACATTATTATCATAGCGGATCTTCCAAAAAAAAAAAAAAGACTGAATCTAGAGCTACTTGGCATTCTAACCCACTCCCAACAATGCATTTCTCCCCCAAACAATGCGTCTAATTGCACTTCATGCTCCAGCTTTTTGATGATTCAATGTCTCTTTCTTGGGCGAAACTTATCCTCCGTTCCAGTCCACGAGAAAAGCCCATTCTTATGAAAAACGTTCTAGAGTTTTGATTTACGACTCACTCAATGATTGACTGAACAAAAGCAATAGTCAAGGTACTTTACCGACAAAACAATTTGTTGGACAATATTCAAGCAATTACATCCTACGTGGATCTCGAGTATCGTTCCTGTCAGAAAGAAAAATGGGCAAATTTGAGTTTGCGTGGATTTTCGAGATCTTAACGAAGCGTGTCCCAAGGATGACTTCCCCTTGCCAATAACTGAACTCATGATCGATGCTACGACTGGACATGAAGCATTGTCCTTTATGGATGGTTCATCAGGATACAATCAAATACGCATGTCGCAAAGAGACAAAGAGTTGACTGCATTTCGCACTCCAAAGGGCATATATGCTACAAGGTGATGCCATTCGGCTTGAAGAATGCTGGAGCTACCTATCAAAGGACAATGCAAAAGATATTTGATGACATACTCCACAAAAACATCGAGTGTTATGTTGATGATGTCGTGGTAAAGTCGAAGAAGCGAGAAGACCACCTAAAAGATTTGAGGATGGTTTTTGAACGTCTGAGAAGATATTAACTAAAGATGAATCCGTTGAAGTGTGCATTTGGTGTCAAGTCGGGGAAGTTTTTTGGGTTCATTGTCCGTCACCGTGGAATAGAGATCGAGCAAGCAAAAGTCAACGCAATACTAAGGATGCCTGAGCCGTGCAATATTCACGAGCTTAAAAGTCTGCAAGGGAAGTTGGCGTATCTTCGAAGGTTCATCTCAAATCTAGCCGGACGATGCCAACCTTTTAGTCATCTAATGAAGAAATGTGTTTCTTTGAGTGGGATCAATCTTGTACAAAAGCTTTCGAAAGCATAAAGGCATATCTGATGAAGTCTCTCGTGTTAGTCGCACCAGTGTCTGGTTGTCCTATTATTCTTTACATAGCAGCAGAAGAACGTTATGTTGGAGCTTTGCTGGCTCAAGAAAATGATGATGGAAAAGAGAGTGCGTTATATTATTTGAGCAGAACGCTGACGCCGAACGAGATGAACTATTCACCGATTGAGAAAATATGTCTGGCACTAATTGAAGCATTATTTTCAAGCCCATACGGTTCGTCTTGTTTCAAGGGCAAATCCATTGAAATATGTCATGACAAGACCCGTCCTCTCAGACCGTTTAACTAGGTGGTATCTTCAACTTCAACAATTTGAAATTGTCTACATCCCTCAAAAGGCTATAAAAGGACAGGTTCTGGCGCACTTCTTAGCTGATCACCCTATTCCTGCTGAGTGGGAGTTGTCTGATGAACTACCCGATGAAGACATTCTTCTCACTGAAATTACTCCACCTTGGAAGATGTATTTTGATGGAGCTTCCCATAGAGAAGGAGCTGGTGCTGGAGTCGTCTTTATGACATCCCATGGAGAAGTGCTTCCGTATTCCTTCACTTTGACTAAAGGTTGCTCAAACAACGTTCCAGAGTATCAAGCTCTAATTCTAGGGTTAGAGATGGACGTGAACATGAAGCAACTACATCTGAAGGTCTATGGCGATTCAAAGCTAGTGGTGAAGCAACTGCTTGGAGAATACGATGTAAAAAAGCCTGAGTTGTCCCGTATGTCGAATATGCGAAAAGGCTCATGGGATGGCTTGGAGATGGCCGTGGACATGAAGCAACTACATCTGAAGGTCTACAGCGTATTCAAAGATATATCACACACTCTTCGTACTCTCCGCACCCTCTCTCTTTTCCCTTTTCCTCAGATCTATCTTCCTCTCGCACCCCATAAACAATGGTTTCTTTCACCGCTTCTCCCGCTTCCTTCTCCGCCATTTCTTGCTCATTGAAGCGTAATCAGGTTCTGAATTTGAGGAAGGCTTCACTGTCATTTAGTTGGAAGGACTTTTCATCTCGTAGAGCGCCTGCCCTTTGTTTCAGAGTTGCTTGTGCTGCGAAACCAGAGACAGTAAAAAAAGTAGTTAAAATTGTGAAAAAACAGCTAGCCCTGCCTGATGATAGCGAAGTCAGTGGGGAGTCGAAATTTGCTACGCTTGGTGCTGATTCTCTTGACTCGGTTGAGATTGTGATGGGACTCGAGGAGGAGTTTGGGATCTCTGTGGAGGAGGAAAGTTCCTAAAGCATCACCACCATTCAAGATGCGGCGGATCTTATCGAGAAGCTAATGGAAAAGTGTTAAAACATCATCACTGTTGAAGATGCGACTGATATAATCAAGAAACTGTTGGAGATGAAGTGTTTAACAGTTATGTAAAAGAACAACAAATAAATTAGTGTCCGTAAGCAATATTTCTTTTGATTTGAGAAATTCATTTGAATAATATTTTTCGTGTTTTTTAAATTTTATGCACGAAATTTGTTGTTACAAATTTTTGGCACGCCCAGTGGGACCTCTCTACCTCTCATCTCTTCTCCAAAGTTCCTCAAGTCATCATGACTAGCCGCAAGATTGTCGTAGTCAAGATTCCTTCAACAAGTTCCTTAAGTTTCAACCTCGGCGTCGTTACAAGAAGCATGGCCAAGCAACTGCAAGCATCTTTGGAGACGGCTCGAGTTACAAGGAATAAATAGAAAAATTTGTTGTTACAAATTTGGCACGCCCAGTGGGACATTCTCTACCTCTCATCTCTTCTCTTCAAATCAAGTTCGAAGATCTTTGAAGATGCATGAAGACCTCTTTGAAGAAATTGTACAAGGGGGCAACTAAGGATGATGTCTCATCAGGCCATGAATTTTTCATCTGAATGGAGGAAACAAAAAGTGTTCTTCCATATTCTTCTCAAATTCCATGGGGGCAATTTACATGGAAAGCTCCATCAAATCCTCAAATTCATATGCTCCTTGATACGAGCCTAAACTATCTATATATTCAAAATGCTCCTTGATACGAGCCTAAACTATCTGCATATTCAAATGCTCCTTGATACGAGCCTAAACTATCTACATATCGGGCCAAATTAAAGACTCTTCGATACGATTATAAACTGTCTACAAATCAAGCCAAATGAAGAACTCCTTGATATGAGTATAAACTATCTACCAAGTCTCAAATTCATATGCTCCTTGATACGAGGTTAAACTATCTACAACGCTCCTTGATATGAGCTTAAACTATCTACATATGCTCCTTGATATGAGCCTAAACTATCTATATGGCTCATTAACACGAGCATAAAATATATTCATATCAAGATCTCCTTGACATGGGAATAAAAGGTCTACATATCAATCTTGAAGGCTCCTTGGCACGAGCATAATATGTCTACATATCTTTGACATCCGAATCGGTCGGGTTAGGATGAAACGGGTCGGCCCCATGAGCTGCATGGGACCGAACTCCTAGAAAGTGTCGGGCCGATCAGGAGCACAGAAGCCGACCTGAGTCGAAGGATTATATGCCGTACGGGTCGAAGGGAATATTTCCCGAGCCCGGCACCCGGACATGTTGGGAGCCGAGCCGGTCTCGTCTCAGTGCCGAACTGAAGAAAGGCTCACCCGGGTCGCGTGGACCTTTATAGCGAAGGAGCCGATCTGAGTAAGCTAGAGCCGCCCTGCCCAAGGATAGCGCCGATTCGATCACTACTTAAATATTCGCCACTTGGGAGGTCATCATTCGATGATGAAACGGCCCGTCACAGTCATTCAATCAGCATTAAATGCTACCCATGCTTGCATTTAATGCCTAGCAAGCAATGATTGGGAAAACCTCAAATCGCAATAATGAACTGTCAGGAAGGCGCCGAACTGCTCTGCAAATCTACTGTACGACAAGACCGGTGAACAGTACCCCATTTAAGAGTACTATAAATAGCAGCCCACCTCATTTATTCTGAGGTTGTTGAATCCTCAACTAACTTAAGCTTTCCTCTACTTTCTCTCTCTAAGTTGTAAGAAACCCCCTTTAAAGAATTGTAAGTATATCATAAGTGTCGACCTCGTACGGGAGGCCGACCTCGTGATCATTCAATAAAATCGTAATTAAACTATATCTTTCTTTTATTTCCAGTCCTGCACTTTCCATATTTTTAATCTCAACCGTTGACCGAAAACGCTCGTCAACAGTTTGGCGCTAGAAGGAGGGCACCATAAGTTACTTGGTGTCGACATTTTTCGACCTAGTGTTTAACGCCACATCCTATTTTCTTTTGTTCCAAATCATCTCCGCTCCGAAGCTCGACCAGAGATGACTTCATCCACTCACGACGAGTCTACACAGCAATCCGGCGCTCAGTCCCGCCGGCGCAACGGCGAGGGAACCTCCCGCCGAGTCCAACAGGGGACTCAAGCCCCTGTTCCTCCAGTTCCGACCTTCGCGGAGGCCATGCAGCACCCCAACGTCCTCAAAGCCCTTGAGGGGGTCTTTGCAAAGGCGCTCGCTGGTCAGACGGCCGGGGCCAACACCATGGCGGCCACGGAAGGCCCCGACAACACACTACTCCAAACTCCCGCCAAGGAGGCGGACGGACACCAGAAGAAAAAACCTGCCAAATCCAAGACGACGGCCCAGTCCCCCAACCGCGCCGCCTTAGAACGGCGTGAGAAGGGAGCCGGCCCGACGCCTTCCGAACAGACCGGTGAAAGCCAGCCGGATCGGAGCCTACAGGTTATTCGTTGCTCCGTCTATCAACGCCTCGGCGACAAAAGCAAAGCCAATCGGGACCTCAGGGAGGTCATTGAACGGGGAAAAACCATCGGGCGCGACGCAGACGAGGTCGTGGCCCTTAAGCGTAGAATCGCCGAGCTGGAGGGTCAGCACCACACACAAAGCGAACCTTCACCTCCTTTCCTACCACCTCCTCCCTTCTCACGACCTTCTCCCCGGGTCGCGGACCACGCCTCACCACTCTCGCCCGACATATTGCAAGAACCGTCCCTAAGAAAATCAAAGTCCCTCAGCTCGGACTCTATGATGGGAGCTCGGATCCGGACTCTCACATCGGCCTCTACACCTCGTGGATGGACCTGCACGGCGCCACTGACGCTTTGCGCTGTCGCATGTTCTCGTTGACATTGGGGCCCAAGGCGCAGAGGTGGTACCACTCTCTATATCCCCACTCCATCTCCACGTGAGGGCAACTCAGGGCGGCGTTCTGATTGCACTTCATCGGATCACAGATCAACCTCGCCCCCAAGGAATCCATCGCCAACATCGTCCAAGGCGAGGACGAAAGCTTGAAAGATTACATAACTAGATTCAACGATCGAGTCCAAAACATGGAACAATGCCACCCAGAGGCGCTGCTAATCTCGGCACAGGCCGACCTGAAGCCGAAGACTTTGTTCAAGTGGTCCCTTTGCCAAAACAAGCTGACCACATACCAAGAATTCCTTGTCCGCGCCCAAAATTATATCATGGCCGAGGAATCCTCGTCCATCCCGGTGCTCGACGCCGCGTCGAACAAGGGAAAGGCGAAAGATGAAAAGTTAGGAAAATCGGGCAAATCATTTGCTGAGATCCGAGCCATGTGGAGGCAGAAAGCGGAGGAGCTCAAGGAGACCTATCAAGGTGTCTTTTCGGTAGGTGCTGCGGCCGTCTACGAGGAGATCAAGACCAAAGGGTTGCTACCAGACCCAAAGCCGATGTTTACCGTTAAGGACAAAGTGGACAAATCCCGTTACTGCACCTACCACAAGGCTCATGGACACAACACCGACCAGTGCCGAAACCTGATCTCGGCGCTGCTCAAATTGATTTAGGACCCGCACGTTAAAAGGTTTACCCACTCAGGGGAGAAGAGGAAGAAGGGAGGCCGTTTCGAGGACGACCTCGACAGTGGAGATGATGCCGACGTGAACCCGTGAAGGAAGAAACCGCAACAGGGCAGCCCCAATGAGATCCTGACATTCAACCCGACATATCAAGGCGAGGCCGACACCTCGAGGGGCCGAAAACGAAATCGGTCCCCTTCATCGGGGCCCGACCAGGCCTATTCCCCACCCCGGCGTGTGAACACCAGCCGAGCTGAATCCCTCCTGTCGAGAAGACAGACCAAGGCTTATGCCCGACAAGCCTATCATGCTGGGCAAAGGGTGATGCATGCCGGGAGTAGGCCGGCACCTGAACCGACTCCCAACAAGATCTCATTCACCGACGAAGATGCTTTCCTCTTTGACCACCCCCACTCCGATGCGCTGGTTATCACCGCGCCTATCATGGCAATCAAGATCCACCGCATCATGGTCGACACTGGGGCCTATGCAAGTATACTCTACTACAACACTTTCAAGAAGATGGGAATAGATTCAAAGGACGTGCAACCATGCCGAGAACGGATCCAGGGCTTCAACGGACATATGACCACCCCGGTCGGCCAAGTCACGCTGCCGATCCGGTTCGGAGAAAGGGGCAACCCTTAAGAACCATCCTCGAGACCTTCAAAATCGTGGACTGTCAGAGCGAGTACAACGCCATCATAGGCAGGACGACGCTTTATAAGTTGAGGGGCGCCGTCTCCATCTTTCACTATTCCATCAAGTTCCCAACCTCAAACGGGGAAGGGACACACCGAGGAGACCAGAGGGAAGCTCGGGAGTGCGTTCTGACCATTCCCCGATTGGAGATAAATACCGCCAACCCCGTCCCGGATACCGAGATGACGGCATATCAGGAACATCTGCAGATCGTCCCCAGCGAAAGCATCAAGCCGGTGCCGGGTAGAACAGAGGGGGATTGCATGCTGGGAAACTAGATAGGATCGCCTCACGAGCCCGAGACAAATGCCGACCTGGTCAGCGGAAGCGCCGAGGTCGACCCAAGTCAGGGGGCCGAGCAGGCTAGTCTCGATCCGGGGGACGACCGCACGCTGAGCAATCAGACAGGTCCGCTCCCTCAGGTTGAGGACGATGCCAACCAGGTGGAAGAAGGGTCCGGTGCCGACCTGGACCGCGACAGGAGCCGGAGAGCCGGGAAGGAGCCGGTCACGGAAGAAGATGAGCTTGACCCCCGCACTCAGTATGAAGAAAAGAGAGGAACCAAAAGAGCCGAGCCTATGGACGAAGTCGAGATCATTTTCATCGCTGAAGAAACTTGTCAAAAACAACTCCGAATTGGGAGCCGGTTACCGGAACCACTGAAGACCGAACTAATCAAATTCTTTAGGGAGAACGCAGACATTTTCG